ATTTGCATAAGTAGTAGTAGGTGTGACCTGTCACACCACCTGTCACTTTGTATGCATACTAATGTGATTGAAACTGGATCAGTACTACTACTCTCCTGTTCTGGCTGCCTTACACTGGCTCCCTGTAGAACACAGGATAGAATTTAAAATTATTCTTCTCGCCTACAAAGCCCTTAACCTGTTAAGCCCTGAGCCTGTTTTTCAGGTCTCCGGCTCGAAAATGACATTCCCAGAACAAATGACCATATCTTCCCTTCTAAAAGGGTTAAATTAATAATCTTTTTTCTCAAAGTAATGATAAACCTTTGAGTTGGATGTAGAAAAGTCAGAATCAATATAGATGTTTTTTATTTTAAAGAAAATTCAGATTTTACATAGTAAAAAACTGTAAATTATAGTGTCCGTCCAAATATTATTTTGTACTTATAGTGAAAACTACCCTTGGATGATGGTAAGGTAGACTAAAAGCTTTAGGAATCCAAAGTTCAAGGTTCAAGGTTCTTTATTGTCAATCTGACATAGCTACAGAGTAATTATGCAGTTGAAAATCTTATGTCACAGGCTTCTCCAACAATGCAACATAATAACATAACATAATAACAATAAGAGCAAGAGCAATACAAAAATAATAATAGTTATAAAAATGAAATAAAGTTATGATGTGGAATAGTGCAGTATGAGTCTATATACAAGTTATTGGAATGATATATATATATTAGGTATTAGATACATACTACTGAGTAGCAGTTGAATGTTTGATGTTGTTTCAACAGTTCAATTGTTTAACAGTCTCACTGCCCGCGGGAAGAAACTGTCTCCGAATCTTCTTGTCCTTGCCCGGATGCTGCGGTAACGTCTGCCAGACGGCAACAGAAAGAACAGTTTGTGGCTGGGGTGATGGGGGTCTTTGATAATCCGTAGTGATTTCTTCCTGAGCCGCTGGGAGTAAAGGTCCTCCATGGATGGCAGCTCCGTCCTGGTGATGTGCTGTGCAGTTTTCACCACCCTCTGTAAAGCCTTACGATCGAGGTCGGTGCAGCTGCCGTACCAGGCTGTCATGCTGCCAGTGAGGATACTCTCTATCGTGCACCTGTAGAAGTTGCAGAGTATCCTGGAATCCATTTTGAACCTCCTCAGCCTGCGGAGGAAGAAGAGCCGCTGTCGAGCTTTCTTGGTGATGGTGGTGGTGTGAAGAGACCATGTCAGGTCCTCAGTGATGTGGACCCCAAGGAACCTGAAGCTTTGACTCTCTCCACCGTAGTCCCATTGATGGCGATGGGGGCGTGTCCCTCTCCCTGCTGCTTCCTGTAATCCACAATCAGCTCCTTTGTTTTGCTGATGTTGAGATGGAGGTTGTTCTCCTGGCACCAAGATGTCAGGTTTTCGACCTCCTCTCTGTATGCCGTCTCGTCATCGTCTGTGATCTGGCCGATGACGGTCGTGTCATCAGCAAACTTCACGATGGTGTTGGAGCTGTGTGTGGCCACGCAGTCGTGGGTGAACAGGGAGTAGAGGAGAGGGCTGAGCACGCAGCCTTGAGGGGCACCGGTGTTAAGAATCAGGGTGGAGGATGTGATGTTTCCCACCCGCACTGCCTGGGGTCTGCCCGTCAGGAAGTTCAGGATCCAGTCGCAGAGGGCGCTGTTGAGCCCGAGGTCTCTGAGCTTGATGGCCAGCTTGGAGGGCACAATGGTGTTGAATGCTGAACTGTAGTCAATGAACAGCATTCTCACATATGTGTTCCTGTTCTTCGGGTCCAGGTGTGAGAGGGCAGTGTGGAGGGTGAGGGCTATGGCGTCGTCTGTGGACCTGTTTGCTCTGTAGGCAAACTGCAGGGGGTCCAGAGATTCAGGGAGGGAGGAGGTGATGAATAATTTGACTAACCGCTCAAAGCACTTCATTATGATGGAGGTGAGTGCTACTGGGCGGTAGTCGTTGGGGCAGGTGATGATTGTCTTTTTGGGGACAGGAATGATGGTGGAGTGTTTAAGACATGTGGGGACTACAGACTGCAGCAGGGACCTGTTGAAGATGTCTGTGAACACCTCTGCCAGCTGAACTGCACACACCCTGAGAACACGGCCAGGGATGCCATCAGGTCCAGGAGCCTTGTGTGGGTTAACCCTTTTAAAGGATTTACACACATCTGCCCTATTTAAAACAAAAGGGCAGTGTAGCTCCTGGTCCCTCTGTACCTCCACAGCCTGGCTGCTCTCAAAGCGTGCAAAAAAACTGTTTAGCTCATCTGGGAGAGATGCGCACGCAGACACTCCCGCAGCACCCCCCGCTGCTCCTTTGTAGTCAGTCATTGTCCTTAGTCCCGCCCACATATTCCTAGTGTTACAGCCTTTGAAGTCAGATTCCACCTTCTCTTTGTACTGTCTCTTTGCATTTTTTATTGCTCTCCGGAGATCATACCTAGACTTCCTGTACTCCTCCAAATCTCCCGCTGTGTGCGCGAGAGTGCGCGCTTTCAGTTTGCCGCGCACCTCACCGTTTACCCAGGGCCTTTGATTTGGGAATGTCCGTACAGAAACCTTCGGTACCACGTCATCGATGCATTTCCCAATGTAGCAGATGACAGTGTCCGTGTGTGTGTTGATGTTATTGTCCTCAAACACACTCCAATCCGTAGATGCAAAGCAATCCTGCAGTGCTGAATCTGACTCCTCGCTCCATCGTTGTACTGTCCTTGTTATCGGTCTGTCCCTTTTAAGTTTCTGCTTGTAAGCAGGCAACAACAGTAGTGAGATATGGTCTGATTTGCCGAAGGGAGGGCGAGGGAGAGCCTTATATCCATTCCGGAAAGGGGAATAAACATGGTCCAGTATGTTTCCCCCGCGCGTCGGGAAGTTGATGTGTTGGTAATATTTTGGCAAAACCTTCTTCATGTTGGCGGTGTTGAAATCTCCGGCCACAACGAACGCCATAAACATATACAACATATAAGTACAACATATAATAAGTACCCTGTATCAAGATTGATGCAAAACAAGTGACATTTTACCTTTTTAGAGAGATTTAGCAAAAAGAAACCACTTCTGGGGTCATTTGGGTGGATTTTCCATATCTCTGGCTTCCCTTGCTCGATTTTGATGGTTGACACCTCTTTCTGACCGTTAGAGCCAATAGAATCGAAGGGGTAGTCCCCCACACACACTCATTGTGAAAAGAAAAGGTGGGGGCTTCACGCATGCAGTTTTGCATCAGAGCGAACCTAGCTTTGACATCTGGAAACGGAAAAGCAGTTTTATTGCTTATGGATGATCAGAAATAATTTCAAAGGGACACAGACACATTGGATTAACCTATGGATTAACTTCAGCAGCGTTTTTATCGTTTTAATGCCATTGAAGACCACTTTGGAGAGACTACAGAGCCAAGGTAAAAATGTTAGCATTTTTAGCTACCTAGCGTCACCTGTTTTGATGTCCGTCTTTGCTTATAACGTCGCTATTTCGTATAATTCAGTGATAATGAGGGTACCCATCGATTCTGTGTCACCTCACGATGTGAAACGATGTGTATGGATGTAGGTAGAAAGATACAATAATAAGGTTTTGTGAGTGATTTTAGTTGCAGTAAGGTGTTAGCATTTTTCGCTCGTTGCTAATTCAGAGGCTCAGTGTTAGCATTGTGGGTTTTCTTTTGAAAAAAAAAAAAAAAAGATCAGTTAGATGAGTTTCTTCCCGTTACATGGATATAAAACATTCATAGTTTTATTAAATGAACATGCCCTCAGACACTGTTTCCTGCAAGATGTTGCGGCAGTGCCCCGGTACCGGGGTCTCTCGGGCTTAACAGGTTAATGGCCAGGGGCCATCTTACCTTAAATAACTCATTATACCCTACTGTCCTACTAGGGCATTGCGTTCCAAGAATGCAGGGTTGTTGGTTGTTCCTAGAGTTTTTAAAAGTACAATGGGAGCCAGAGCCTTTTCTTATCAAGCTCCACTTTTGTGGAATCAGCTTCCAGTTTGTGTTCGGGCGGCAGACACCCTATCCATTTTTAAGAGTGCGCTTAAGACCTTCCTTTTTGATAAAGCTTATAGTTAGGGCTGATTAGATTCAGCCCCTAGTTTTGCTGCTACAGGCTTAGACTGTCGGGGGACACCTTACTTCTTCCTTCTCTCTGTCTGTACCTGTGTACTCTCATGTTCCGAATAACCCAGCTTCCCCCAAATGTCTTTTTGGTGTCTATCTACGCTGGGATCCTGAGTCGTGGCGGATCCTGAGTCCTGAGTCCTGATCTGAGTCCTGGATTTCGAGTCGTGGCTGAACCTGTCACTGCGGTCCTGCCTGACTCTCATCTTACTAGTTCCCTGATGGCTCCCACAGGATTGTTGACATCCTCGTGGATTCATCTTCTTGTTATAGACACATGCATTTCCAAACATTTGGTCTACCTATGTTGTAAATGTATTATCTTTTCGATTTACACACGTCTGTCCGTCCTGGGAGAGGGATCGCTCCTCTGTTGCTCTCCCTGAGGTTTCTCCCATTTTCCCCTTTAAACTGTGGGGTTTTTCCTTTTTTGGAAGTCTGTCCTTGTACGATGTGAGGGTCTAAGGACAGAGGGTGTCGTATTGTCATACTGATATTCTGTACAAACTGTGAAGTCCACTGAGACAAATGTAACATTTGTGATATTGGGCCATATAAATAAACATTGATTGATTGATTGATTGATTGATTGATTGATTGATTGAAGTCACAGTCTCCTGTGTAAAATGTAGTATTTATGATCTCAGAAAAAAAAGAAAAGATAATCATATGTTGTTGAAATTCTGTCAGTTTGTTGGAAAGTTGCCACGATATAGGTAGAGTAATATTTATAATGCACTATATTGTGCATAATAAAAAAAGCAATAAATAAATAATGGTACTTGGCAATGAGAAGGATGGTCTCATCTGCAAACTGTAGACATCTGTGAAGTCGACCCTCTGCAGCTTCTCTTCAGTTTTTAACAATCCAACATATAGAAATACCAACATACAAATGGAGAGAAGTTTGTTTTAATGATTGACATTATTTAGATTTGGCACAAAAAAAGCTTTGACCTTGATTTTCACTAACAAACGTATATATGATTAATGAACAAACATGACGTTTTTTCAAATCGTTGTGAAAGTGACTAATCGACAAAAGATACAGGTCTTTCGAGCGTAATATCAGTTATGTCAATAATCAATAATAACAGCTGTGTTGTTAAGTCAAATAACCACATGGCGCTATGAGTCTCAATAGATATAAACAACTTATGCTTAATCATTTCGTACACAACACAATCATAATCATTATAAATTATTAGATAATCTAATCAATTTATACTTGATTCAAACTGCTTATTGTTAATCATTTCTTATAATGGTTTCTATAATTGAAGATCATTACATTCAGGGGACACCATTCCTTACAAGTTTACTGACATAATTGTTGTAAATCATTACATTTTAAAGAATAAACTTATCCTACATTCAAAATACTTCTACTTAATAAATTCTTAGAAGTTTCTAGTACAAACAAAATCATTGTAAATAATTTAATATAATCTAGACTCGATTTAAACAACATATACTTAATCCTTTCGTACACAACACAATCCAAATTATACATAAATGATTACATTATTCTAACCAATACTTGATTAAAACAACTAATACTTGTTTTTTTACAAGTTTCTACTACAAACATAATCATAATCTTTTTAAATAATTTCTAATAATGAATTTACTTATCTGTGTTATATCATCATAGGTGCATTAAATTAAGATTATCTGAAAAATGTAATTAACGTTTGTAAACACAGGCCATTTCAAATCAATTAATCCTCTGAATATGTGAAAATATAAACGATAGCATGTATTTAACAAGAAAAGTAACAAAGTGCTTTGAGCAGAAATAATAAAACAATAGAGACCAAACTACATTTTGAACCAGTATTTAAACAAAAACTGGAATTAGGGTGAGAGGTGTAGGCTAATTAACGTTTACAACCTTAATCTTTCTCCTGCCTCTTTGGTAGTAAAGGTAAGTAAAGTAAGGGCTTTTCTCCGTGTTTTAGGAGAACATATGTATAGAAACCAAAACTTAGTACAACAGACGTGTATGGTGTTTAAAACAATCCTTGAGTCCATTGAGTTCCTGGAAGGATTGGGGACAATGATGGTGGGAAAAGGGATGGAGGACATTGAATAAATGGGGCTAAACATTGACATGGGGGTCAAAGGAGATAGAAAAAGACAGTAATGACACAAGATTGTTCTGAGTCAAATCTGAGGATCCTTTGCCAAGTCTTTAAAGTAAACCTTCAGTTTGACAGAAATCAAATTGGTCTTCCTTGATTTCCTGTCAATGCTCCAAAACAGAATTTCCATCGAACAATGTTATGGTGTTGTAAGAAATAGGGGATGTGGGGCTACATGTTGTCAATGGGGGGTACAATGGGGGGTTCGGTGCTGAATTTGATTGGGGGATGTGGGGTCAAGATATTAGTTGGGTCCATGGTGACGTTAGGAATAAGGGATTTGGGGCCTTGCACTGTCATGTCGGGCCATGGGTTGTAGGAAAAAGGGGATATGGGGCTGTTGGTCTCTCCCATGTTATGGGGTCCATGGTGCCATAAAGAATAAAGGGTTTAGGCCTGTTCATTTCGGGCACGATCCCTTAAGAAATAGGGTCTTCCGGGCCTTGCTGTGTCATGATGTCCATGGTGCTTTTAGGAATAGGGGCTGTGGGGCCTTGCACTGGCATGTCGGGCCATGGGTTGTAGGAGAAATGGGATATGGGGCCGGGCATTGACATGGTGCTGTTAGGAGTGGGGGCTGTTGGTCTCTCCCATGTTACGGGGTCCATGGAGTCATAAAGAATAAAGGGTGTAGGTCTGTTCATTTCGGGCATGATCCCCTAAGAAATAGGAGCTTTCGGGCCTTGCTTTGTCATGAGATCCTTGGTGTTTTTAGGAATAGGGGTTGTAGGGTCGGGCATTGACATGAGTTGTCTGGTGCTGTAAAGTGTAGGGGCTGTGGTTCTCTGTAGTGTATTGGGGTCTATGGTGCTGTACGGAACCATGTTTGGGGGGAAGTAAGGGTTACACTTTGTCATGGGGAATTCTGTGCGGAATTTGATTGGGAATGTGGGGTCGACATTGTCGTGGGGTCCATCCTGTTGTGAGAATTAGGGGCTGTTGGTCCTTGCACTGTCACGGAGTGCAAGGTGTTGTAAGGATTAGGGGCTGTTGGTCCTTGCACTGTCACGGAGTGCAAGGTGTTGTAAGGATTAGGGGCTGATAGGCCTTGCACTGTGATGGGGGGCATGGTGTTGTGAGAATTAGGGGCTGATGGGCCTTGCACTGTCATGTGGGGCATGCTGCTGTAGGGATTAGGGGCTGATGGGCCTTGTGCTCTCATGGAGGGCAATGTGTTGTAAGAAAAAGGGGATGTGGGGCCGGGCATTGACATGCTGGGCATGGTGCTGTAAGGACTAAGGGATGTGGGACCGCTCATGTCAGGCATGATCCCATAAGAAAAATTAGTTGTGGGGTTCTGCACTGTCATGGGTGCCATGTTGCTGTAAGGAATAGGGGGTGAAGGGCCGAGCATTGACATGGAGGGCATGCTGTTGTAAGAATCATGGGATGTAAAGCCGGGCATTGACATTGGGTGCATGGGGCTGTAGGAATGAGGGGATGTGGGTCCAGGCATGGTGTTGTAGGAATTAGGGGATGTGGGTCCAGGCATTGACATAGAGGGCATGGGGTTGTAGGAATTATGGGATGTGGGTCCAGGCATTGACATGGAGGGCATGGGGTTGTAGGAATTATGGTATGTGGGTCCAGGCATTGATGTGGGGGGCATGGGGTTGTAGGAATTATGGGATGTGGGTCCAGGCATTGATGTGGGGGGGCATGGTGTTGTAGGAATTATGGGATGTGTGTCCAGGCATTGACGTGGGGGGCATGGTGTTGGGTTGAGACATCGGGGTTGTCGGTCTGGCATTTCCTGAAACATTTGTATACATTCTCTGCATCGTGTCGCCCTGCTCAATGAGCAGAGCTCCAGACAGTTCCTGGAAGCTATCAGAGAGCGATTTGTCCAAATTCAACAATTTGCTTTCATTGTTGGACTTCCTGAAGCCTATACCAGGTTTATTACGAG